TTGGTAGCAGTGCAATACGACCACTCGCACCAAGGAGAGAAGCCCAGGAATTTACAAATTGAATATGGTGCACGAATGATGAATTTCACAGATATTTTTCAATCGAGTTTCGTGCACAAATGAATTCTCGAAAAAGCAAATTCAGTCGGAAAATCTTGAATTGAATAAATAATTAAAAGTCGGTGCAAATAACGACTGTGGAATAGAACTATTTGTTTTACTTCGATTGTTAATTGGAAAGATGATTTATCGTGTGAAAAATAAATGAGCCGAATTGAAATGAAAATGAAAAAATTTACAGGATATAAAAACGATTCCTTGTTTATTTTGAAGAAAATAATGAAATCTCCCTAAAAAAACAAAAACAAATGTTTTTGTAAAAAAAATGCGCCAAGAAAAAGTTTTGTTCGGTTCTTACTGAAAAGTAGAAATTTTTGAAAAATAAAAAGAATTGAAAACGGAAGCCAAGTCAGCAATGTCGAATAAACGAAAATAGTGCACAATCAGATTTCTATAAGAGAAATTGTTTCAAATCAAATGAGGATTTTTAAAAAATTCTTGATGAAATAAAAAATTAGTAGAAGGAGGACCAACGTTCTTGGCGCGGAGTTTTTCAACTCATTGTGGGCGCGTTTCGCAATCGACGTAGTAGCAGTAGCAGTACTGGAACCCTATCTAATTTTGCTTTACTGCAGCTACGGTAGTTGATTCCGAAACGCACCCTGTCTAGTATCAATCTCATTCTCCATCTTCTTATCCGCGCCAAGGACGTTGGTCCTCCTTCTACTAATTTTTTATTTCATGAAGATTTTTTTTTTAATCCTCATTTGATTTGAAACAATTTCTCTTATAGAAATCTGATTGTGCACTATTTTCGTTTATTCGACATTGCTGACTTGGCTTCCGTTTTCAATTCTTTTTATTTTTCAAAAATTTCTACTTTTCAGTAAGAACCGAACAAAACTTTTTCTTGGCGCATTTTTTTTACAAAAACATTTGNTTACTATCTACTGGCTATGAAAAATTATAGTGCTGTTCAAGTGAAATTTCTGGTTGTTTCTGATAGAATTTCAGAGGAGTTCTGGGCAGATTTCCTACCTAGCTGGCACTTCGCGCCTCTTTTCACGTACTGGCACAAGAATTTTTCAAAAAAAATTATCTTCCTATACTGAACAATTCATATTTTAGGAGATTCCATACTACAGTTGCCTATGGAGTGCGCTATCTGTCGAGACAGATAGGCTGCGTGCTGACGAACTGTGGACATGGAGTTTGTGCAGAATGTGCAACTATGTTAAGAGCACGTAGTGTTGAGGAAGGAATTCCCTTCCAATGCCCTTTTTGTAATGCACGAATCGTTCAGGTAATAAGGTTTTTCATTCCTTAGATTGAATAAAAATCTATGGAGACTAAAATCATCAAAAGGACTCATGATAACAAAAAGGTATTGATCTGCATAAAATGTGTCTCAACTGATTTTTTATATGATTTCTACTGGGAAAAACATTATCAAAAGGAGAGAAGCTATTCGGTGAAGTTTGGAGGATTTGAGATTATTATGGGTTAGTGCGACGGCTTGATTGCTTTTTGTATTAGTGTTAATTTATTTTTTTTAAACCGCCGGAGAGGAATACTTGTTTTTTTCCTATCTTTGTCGTTATACAAGAATGTAGACAATCATTTGATTGTCATATTTTTTTCCATGAACAACGTAGAACGTTTTTTTTTGTTCCCGGCAGTTTATTATTTTTTTATTCGTTTTTTTATTCTTTTTTTGAATCGCACATGATATAATTCTATTGGTGCCTCGTCAATTCTACTGGAAACTTGGATTTCTCCATACTTTCTTTAAAAAATATTTGAAATATTCTAGAAGATGAATAGCATCGGTCTGCTGCGATGAGGTTTTTTATACTCATGTGGCTTTGGCGTCCGAGCCGAAAGCAAGGACTGGCCAAACACACGAGTAAAGAAACCCCATCGCAATCGCCTGCGATAAGATTTTTATGTAATGATTTTCGAGATTTCGAGTTTGGGAAGTATGCAAAACCAATTCCCAGATGAAAAATCCCGAGAAGCAGTACAGAAAAACCTTTTCCCATTTCTTTTCACCATTCTTAGTTTTTTTGTTCCAATAGCATCGACAAAAATGAAGTGAGTTTCCTTGAGACTGCGCTGACTCATTGTATAATTTTCTTTGGTAACTTTAAACATAAAAAAAACAGAAAACTGACAATAATGTATATTGAATGATAGATGTTAAGGTATGAAAGACAATGATAACAGGAATGAAGAGAAAAAAAAGATTTGTATGATGAAGACAGGAGTTCAGTGACGAATTATTACAATAAGTAATGAGAAGATTCATACGTTTATTTATTTATATCAGTTTAATTTTCAAATAAAATAAAATGAAAAAAATAAACCTCTGATCCTTTCTATTACTCCCCTCATGGTTACTCCTTTAACTTACTCATTATTATTATAAACAAGGTGTTACTCTCCTGAAAATTCCATATCGCTCCAATTCAATGTATTTCACCAGAATTGAATTATTATTTAAACATTGAAGGTCTTAATTAGATTATTGATTTTGAACCAGTAAAAAGCATTTTTTAACGCTGATAAATAAATTAGAAAGTCTACTTTTGGAGGAAGATTGATAAAATAATTGAGAAATTGCATTTTTCGAAGATTACGAGCATTTTTTATAAATCATTTATAATCAATCGATTTTCAACCATACAAATGATTATTTCGGAATCATAAAAAATTAATTCATTTTCAGAATTTTACTTAAAATGAATTCCATGCCTAAAAAAATCAGGTTTTTGAACGTTTAAACAGTTCAAATTATTTATTTATAATAAGGGAATGGTTAGAAAAATAATAATTCTATCCAAAATGTAATTTAAATGACGCTAAATATGCGTAATTTTTTTTCAAATTTTTCTCACGTAATTTAATTGACAAATTTGACGATTGCATATAGCTGAATCGATTGTGTGGTTTATATCAAATCGTAAAACATGATTGAATTTCCTTACTCATAAACCAAAAATCAATCGTAGAGTAGAATTATTATTAAAAAAATATTCAAATGATCAATTTCATTCAATTAGGTTCTCGAAGACGTAGTCAGACCCTTTGATTTCATTCAGCGTTGCCAACTTGAAGACTCCCAGATAATAGCGATACCTGATTTATCGGCCAACGGTCATCCGCTTGCGGTGTAGATAAAACAGATTGCTCATTAATTTCAACGCTGCTTTTGGGCACTTCTTACATTCGGAGAATTCAGATTGTGTTCTTATACTGTTGGAGGCGCGTTTTACGGACTCTGAAACAATTTAACGTACAATGCTTCATTCATTTTCTCCCAACATTCACACAAGATTTAATCAGTTGGGAGTAAAATTCCTCATCATCCATATTATCGTTTGACTCTTGCACGCCAATAACGTTTTTTCATCAACCAATTTTTGGTTGGAATTTCATTCAACTTTCGGATGTGAGTATACCACCCGGACATCTAATCCGCGTGAGGGGAATAAGGTATGATACAAGGGCGCGTTTCGCAATCGACTTAGTAGCAGTAGCAGTACTGTAACCCTATCTAATTTCGCTTTACTGCAGCTACAGTAGTTGATTCCGAAACGCACCCACAGGGAGGTATGGTGAAGTTTTGATGTCGCCGACACCGAAACAGGGGACAAGTTCCAATGGAAGCCACGCGCGGCGCTGTTGCGTCCCTTCCCCTCACGCGGATTAGATCTCCCACCACACACCGATTTTACTTACGTCGCGAGTTCAAATCCCCGTCAAATCAATTTTTTTTTTTCATGACAGAGAAATAGTATATTTCGTAACGAGTGCAAAAAAGTGGTTTTTGGCGAGTGGGAAGTTTATATCACGATCCAAAAAACACTTTTTTAACGAGTTACGAACAAAATTTTCCATCACAATGTGTCGGAAAGTTACTTCTCCGATACAGCGTGATGAAAATAAAATTTTGTGTTCAATCGAGAGGAACAGGATTAAAAAATGTTGAGATGAAAACTATATGATTCTCAGCAAATAGTTCCATGGGTCGAGCGATAAAGATTGACTGAGAGTCATGTTGACTAGACGATTGAAATACTAATTAGAAGAAAGAATAATTAACATCAGACGAGGGTCATAATGGTCACGAGGGGTAAAATAAATGAAATACAAGGGGTTTCAAGAGCCACAAACGAAAAAAAAAGTCCCAACTATTCACTTACGCACCTCACACAAATAACAATCGTTCTTTGAGACTTGATCACTCGGTAGCAAATCACCGCTTTTTTCCAGCCATTGTCATCGCTTCTCAATTTTTTTCACACTGGGAAGGGAGAAAAAACGATAATTATCCCTAGAAGATGCTTTGCAATTTATAATTGCACACGATTTAACCATTTTGCATGAATCAACTCGCACAGACTGCTCAGATCTATTGGAGTACGTTTTGGAGCAGACATAAACAAACAACATTCGCGAGATATTTTTGCGCGAAAAATAAATATTGTTCAACATTGGACAAAAATGCATTTTCATTTTATTTTTAATGCTATTACATTGAGCAGTGATTTCACTCTCAATCTTGGTAATTATTTTCAGTAAAAAAAGAAAGAATTCACCTATTATAAGATAAAAATCACCCCATTAATGAAAGAGTGAGCGGGCCATTGACTATTAAAGAAATAGTACATGAAAAACCATGAATATATTTGCATTTTTTTATTTTTCTTCGCATTGTACATGTAATTTCATACGAGGCTAATTATTTTGACTTAAAATATAAATTTCATAACGTTCCCTCCAGCAAAAAAAGTGCCAGTGGTGGGAGACTAAAGGAAATGAGGGGAAGCCTAAGTCGACCGGAACGCCGCTTCTGGCGCTCCGGCGAACTTGTCCCCTGTTTTCTGGCTTCATCATACCTGCTTGTGGGCGCGTTTCGCAATCGACGTAGTAGCAGTAGCAGTACTGCAACCCTATCTAATTTTGCTTTAGCTACGGTAGTTGATTCCGAAACGCACCCTGTATCATACCTTATTCAGGAGGGTTAATGATGCTATAAATTAGCTGCACTTCAGGAGCTCCGATCAGGACAAAGCGGATTTTAAATCAGAATAACAAATGGGTAAACAACTGTTTTAATCAAGGGAGCAATTTTTGCATCGTGTGTACCAAGAAATATTTTACAGATCCTCTAGAGGTGAAAAGATACAAATCTAATGATACCTCCAAGTCTCCCAGCCCAAAAGTTCTTTCTGATGTTATAAATTGGCTCAAACCAGCGAATATTGCTATCGAGTATCATGATTTATTGGAAAATAGCATAGAAATTACCTACAATGCACTGTACAAGGTTTCAAAGAGAATAGAACGACTTTTGGAAGACTGTTGCGAATCGATGTTCATTGGAATCAGTCCTGATGTTCCATCAATATGTATTCCAGCTCTCATGATCGGGTGAGTGAATTCTCGTCAATTTCAATTAATGGCCTGCATTGTACTTTCTCGAAATTTGTAATTGACTAAAGACACGTGATTATTCTTAAAATAATTATCATTGGGTGGTTTCACTGAAATAAAAATCTGCTGGAGTAATGGGTTCTTCTTTTTAACTACCCATTATCACATTCTAAATATGTGAAATAAGAGTCAGATTCTCCGTATCATTATGACAATTTCTTTTCAGAATAAATCTCTCGAATAATGCTTTCGTCTGTCTCCAATCAGTACCCTTAGACACTGGCGTTTCGAACGACGGATTGGAAATTGAATACTTCTTCGCAAAAAAACCAATGAAGAATACAAATGTAATTAAGGAACTTCACATTCACGATGAGTCTTTATTATTCCTCAAATTTAGACAATGCTCACCCAAGAGTACTCTTGAAGGAAATAATATATATGCATATGCTGTAACTACTTCAGGCTCAACTGGAGACCCCGTAGTGGTTAGAGTAAGTCATGCCTCGATAATTCCAAATATTGCAGATCTCAGCAGGATTTTCGAACTCTCAAGTGAGGACAAAGTGGCTCAATTCATACCTCTTACATTTGACCCATGTGTGATTGAGATATTCATGACTTTGTCATGCGGCGGAACTCTCTTTGTCACTTCCAGCGATATGAAAAATGATCCTCAGAAGCTTCTGGCGTCAGTCCTCGCCAGCAACGTTACGATCATGCAAAGTACACCATCTCTATTAATGCATCGCTGGTCCTTTCACGATTTAAAATCAACAATTTTTGGGGAGCAGAGTTATCTACGGATTCTTGTGCTCGGTGGTGAATCGTTTCCAAGTCCCGGAATTCTCTTTAATTGGAAACATTCATACAATAAATGCAGATTTTTCAATATTTATGGGATTACTGAAGTCTCCTGCTGGGCGAGTATTAACGAAATTTTCCCTACATCCCACCCAAGAGATCTTGGACAAATTCTGAGTGAAACAATGTTTGAAGTTAGGAATGAGAATGACACAATTATTTCTGAGGGGGAAGGTCAACTTTATGTTGGAAGTAATAGTAGGATTTGCCTAATAAACACTGAAAAAATGGAAGAAATGAAATTGCCAGTATTTAGAGACACTGGAGATTTAGTATTACTCGATAAATCGGGAAAAATATTTCTCAATGGTAGGAAGAATCGTCGAGTTAAGAGATTTGGACACAGAATAAATTTGCAACAACTGGAAAATCATGTAAATCAACTCGATATCGTGGGGAATTCTCATGCAATTTTTTTACCAAAAAACCAGACATTACATATTTTCTTCACTAGTCGACATGAAATCAATGAAGAAAGCGATGACCAGAAGTTGACAACTGATGTACTTCAACATGTAAAGAAGTTATCGTCAATTTACCAACCTAATAAAATACATTTAATCAAATCATTTCCTGTCACAACGAATGGAAAAATTTGTATTGATTCGTTAAGACGAATTTGTAGTATTCCAGGAGGAAAATTCGATATTGCAGATAACGCAAAAATCTTTCATGCAATTTGGAGTAATTATGTAACTACACACGACTCTGGATTTGTAGAGAGTGGAGGAACTTCAGTAATTGCCCTTCAGATTGCTAATGAAATGTCTGAGAGAACTGGAAATGAATATCCGGAGTTAATTGGAAGGATGTTGAGAAATGAAACCTTAGAATCTTGTACAGTATATGTTTCTCAAGCAAAATTGAATGTGATGGATAAAATTGTAGAAAGTGGCAAATCTGAGAGTTCAAAGGAAGCGTTGAACTCGTCTAAGAATATTCTAAATAGTGTGAATACAATCCAAAAATCTGATGAAGAAAACATATGGTTGTGGCAAAAATGCAGGGGGAAAATCATATTCAATAATTTTGAAGATTCTGAAAACATTGACATTTCCAAACCACCTGGAAAAACTGGAAAATTTTCTCGGAAAAAATCTTGTAATTTATCAAAATGTGTCGATGCTTCGCCGACAATTTTTTGTTATGGTGGAAAAATTTATGCAACTGTTGGATCCCATTCTGGAATCATATGCACAATTCGATTGAGGGCAGAAGGGTCGGAGGAAAAAAGCTGGACAGTGCAGTTGCCGGATAGAATAGAAGCATCCATTCTCATAGAAAATTACTTCAGGGGAATCGTTGGATGTTACGATGGATTTTTATATTGTATTGATCTCACATCAGGTGAGATAATGTGGAAATTGCAGACAGGAGATACAATCAAATGCTCTGCTGTATTCTGTAGTGAAAGAAAGAACATTTTCTTCGGGTCTTATGATCATCATGTTTACTGTGTCTTGTCAAAGGTAGGTAATCAAATTGTAATCAGTGATATCTTTCAACTTGAGTATAGAGCAACCGATATTGACTTCCGATGTGGAAAAAGTCCCCGAAAGAATACCCCCCCTAACGGCACCATGTGAGTTAGTAGAGAAATGAGTAAGAGTTAAGAAAAGAGAGTTCAGTGAGAGTTCGCGTAAGAGGGCACCTCTCTCTGACTTCTCTACACTTTTTGATAGTTAATTATTGAGTTGGGGGATTACTCCCTGAGTCCACAACACATTCTTATTCAACTCTCTACTATTTTGGATAGTTGAATATTGGATTTTAGGATACAGGGGTAACGATCACTCAATTCTCTACTCTTTTTTATAGTGGATTGTTGGATTTTAAGCTCCAAGTGTAACACCCACTCAACTCTAAAATTTTGGATAATTGACTGTCCAGTTTTGGGGTCAGTGGAATTCATACATTCTGACCCTTACATTTTCAAACCCTTATTGCTCTTGACCCTTAAAATTTCTGACCCTCAAAGATGTTGAAACATCGAACTTTTGAACTTTAATATTACTGACCCTTAGAATGAGGAGCCTTTTGAAACCCTTATTGTTCATAACAGTTAGATTTTGACCCTTGAATTGTCTGACAATTGAAAATATTGAATCATCGAACTTTTAAAACTTATTATTTCTGATCCTTGAAATGGGTCAACTCTCTACTCTCTAGAATTTCTAAAGAGTGGATAGTTGGGGTCGGAAGCTTGGTTGGGGTAACTCTACCCTCTACAATTTTTGGACAGCAGATTATTGAGGTCGGATAATTGGTGGAGGCAATTCCTTGGCAAAAAGACTCCTCAAATCCTATTTTAAAGACGTGTCATCGGAATTAGTGACGTTATTGCCGTTGACCCATCAGTTTCTATTGAGGTCAGGAGCCTTATTCTCGAGTTTGAGGTGAACGGATTTGTGAACGGAAGTAGCTCCGTTCACGTATCGCGTTGGGGAACGAAAGTTTTCGTAAACAAATTCTAGATCCACATGTGAATCAATTTCGTTGACGGATATCGTTTTCGATTTACACGTGAGGATACTCGTATGAGGCTACAGTTAACCTCTTCTGGGGAACGAAACATTGAACATTAATTGTTTAAATTTATTTATTATGGTTCAATTCTTTGTTTTACAATCAGTTGAAAAATGAATCATTTGCGGAGACACATCTATTACGACGTACTCCAAATGCAGAGTATAACGGCGTGTGAAGTTCGCGACTTGGGAATCAGTGTGCGAATTGAAAATAGCCTCCGTGAACGAAGTTAATTCACACTAGCGCCGTCGCCGTTGATGTTCTTTCCTGTTTTCTTTCATTTATTTCTCCCCAAAATTAATGATTCATTAGGATTTTATTGTACTAAGTATTGAAATCAATGGAAAGAATGCGTTTCAGTTCATCACCTGTTCGATTTCAATATTTCAATACGTGATTGATTCTGAATTTCCGTGAAATTCTATTTAGAGTGCAAAACAATAGTTATCAAAGTGCTCGCATCCCAGGATTTTATAATCTTCATCTCCCCGTTCGTTCTCCTTTACTACTTTATGAAAGCATTCAATTATTTTTCTTTTTGAAAAATTATATGACCAAGTCTGATGATTATTCATTAATTTGGATTATCTTGGCCTCATTTAATGATCCTTTTCACAATTTTTACTTTTTCACTCATTTTGTGATTTTTTTCAGTTTTTTTTTCAAAAATTTTCCTAAAATCTCAAAAATTTTGTGATTTTTTTTTAAGAATCTTGAAAATTTTTGCTGAAATCTTTGAAAAAAACCAAGCTATTTCTCAAGTAATTTCTTGCTTTTTCATTTCAATCAAAGTGCAGTGTTCGGGGTCACGTTCCTCCTTCTCATCAATTTTATTAGGAAAATTCCGGCGTTTTTTTATAGATTGTTCTCTCATTGTTTTTTCTTAAAAATTGACAAATATTTGAGAAATATCTAAAATCTTCTCTACTTTCCGAAAAACCTCTGGATTTCCTGAAGTTTCTTCAGAAATCCTTATATTTTGAATTCTTTGAAAAACTCCAAAATTATTTTATGTTCGGAAAAGACCGACGGTTCTCTGATTTTGTAAGGAATCTGCAAACTTTCTTGAAGTTCCTAGAGCTGGATTTCATGAAGAAACACATCCCTTCATTTTTCAAAATATTCTCTCAATGAATGCTCACATCAGGAATAGAACCTGCCCTAAAATTTTCATATTTCTAGCTTCAATAATTTAGACTTTGCATTATTAACCTCAGGCAAACTGAAAGGTTGTCTTTTCATTTTCATCACGCAATTGCGGCAATGATGTTCATTGTTCATAAACATTCTCATTGCAAAAAGCAATACTACTAAAGAAAATGATATATCCCAACTTATTAGCAATTAATTTTTTTTCTCATTGTGACTCATTTCTCAACTTTCTCTCAAACATAATTCAGAGAGTAAATTGCTTGAAGTCAATGTTTGGTGAAACTTTGGTTAAAGCGCACCCCAACGTTGCTATGAAATTTTTTAATCCGTTCGCTCGGCAATTCAATTAATCTGTTGTTCATATCATCGTTCCGTACTTGGAATTTCTTAAAATATTTTTCAAATTCAAAATTCGAACTTAAAATTACAATTTGACTTCTGCTCCTTCATTTTTTGTGAATTGAAAATTCATATAAATAATTACATAAACATTCTAATTCTTGGTCTTTGCTGTCATGGAATGTTACGTTACAGCCTTTTATTCTTAATACAACTTTTTAATGTCAATATTGTGCGGTTGAAAATTCATGTAACTTGAGAGTTTTTATCTTCATGCTATTAAAGTGTTGATTTCTAGTGAATTTTCAGTGAAATTTGAAATGTCATAACTTTTCCCTCTCAAACTGAAATCAATGTTTCTCCTCTAAAAATTGCTACTAAACTGAGCATGAAATTTTTTTTTTTTTTTTTCAACAGTTTAATTGCCATTTACCCATAACTATTAGAGAACATTTAAAAAATCTTGAAAGTGGAAAATGGAAAGTCAACTTACCGAAGTAGACTACGACCATGATTATTTTTTATGTAAACAATTTAATAGCTTCCATTTTTTCACTCTCGAAGTGAAAAATTGATGATCATTGTAATAGTATTTTTTCCTGAATTTTTATGAATTTTTCCGCTTCCGGAATTTCACTGAACATTAATTTCATGCCAAAGAAATTTAATGTCTTGTTCGTAATCGTTCTCGTTGCAAAAAGCAATGCGAATGATGAAAATGGTATGTTCCAATTTATTAGTTGTTAATTCTTCATATTGCAATGAATTACTCATCTGCTAATTGCTATGATCACGGAGTAATATTTTAATCATAAAATTATTTTCTCGAACGTAATTCAGAGATTAAATTTCTGAAATTCAATGATTGTTGATACTCTAGTAAAAGTGGGTGTCAATACTTATAAATTTTTCTAATTAGCTCATTCGGTATTTCACTTAATTTGTGAGTCATATGATCAATACAATTCTAATATCAACACCTCATATATTCAGCACAAAATAAATAATCAAAAGTTAAAATAAATTCATGATAATGATGCAGATCAAATGACATAAATATGATCATTCTAATTCTCAACTATTACGAAATGAGTCACAGTTTTTTTTTTCACATATAAATTTTGAATTTGGATACTGTTGTTTTTTTTCTTTTGTCTTGCTTATATTTTACTATTGGGTAATACTTGAGAGTGGATTATATGCCGAGGACACTGGACACTACTGTATTGAAGTTGGATATTATTTTTATCTATTCAATAAAAAATAAATTCAACTATTGATTCTAATAATCTTTGTTTGAAGAAAACGTCAGTAAATGCAACCTTTAAAATGTTGAAAAAATGATTGAGACAATCATAATTTATTTATCAATAAAAAATACAGGGCAATTCTGAACAGAGTAATTATTTTTCAAATGAGAATTCTAGTAACTTGGATCGAAAAATGTATTGAATTCCATGTAATTGTCATGAAATGTGAACTTCATTGCTTGCTCTTTCAAACTGAATTAAATATCTTGTTGCCTGAAATTTACTACTAAAAGATTCATGGAATTTCATTTTTTCTTCAACAATTTAATTACCTTATTCAATAATACTTAATTTTTGACTCTAGAAATCATTTTTTTCCTAAATCCCGAAAATTTCAACAAAAATCAATTTAATGCAAAAAAAATGATGTCTTTAGAAGTTTAGAGCATTTCCATATTCATTCCTGCAAAGCCAATGTTGAAAAAGGCAATTATTCGCGGAATGACTTTATTTGCGAACTTTTACTGGCCAATTCAATGAAGGTGTTAGATGATAGAAATTCTTCAAATAAAAAAAATTTAGACTTTTTTATGTCATGTAGAAAATTCATTACCCTTGATTTTGTAAAATGAATATTGATTTCATTTAACAAACCCTTGAACTAAAATTGAATGGAAAAATGGAACACGAATATTTTAATAGTTACAACTTAGAATTAGGTCTGAATGATTTGGAAGAATAGAAGATTCATTTCTTTTATTCCACGATTGACATTGAAGTTTATTTAATTATGAACTATTTCAACCATCTTGTCAATTTTTAACACTCATCACTAACGANTCTTGGACTAAAATTGAATGAAAAAATGGAACACGAATATTTTAATAGTTACAACTTAGAATTAGGTCTGAATGATTTGGAAGAATATAAGATTCATTTCTTTTATTCCACGATTGACATTCAAGTTTATTTAATTACGAACTATTTCAACCATCTTGTCAATTTTTAAAACTCATCACTAACGAATAATTTTCCATTTCATTTAACATAAATATATCTGTGTGGAAAATATGCACTGATTTCCCATTCCATTTATCATAAACAAAAACGTGTGCAAAATCTATGCCCTGATTTTCTATTCCAGTCATAACAAACAATTCCGTGTGTAAAAAATATGCACTGATTGTATGTATTTCATG